ACCGTGTGTGTAAGAGCCTTTTTTTTTTTTTATGTGAAATCACATGGTTTTCTCCTTTCCCGGGGTATACCAGCTGTGCCTTTAGCTGTGTCTGTAGGATGAAGCCTTTGGCCTGGCTGATCTTGTCTGGGCTCTGGTTAGGTTGATGTGGATGAAGTCCACGCTCTCTTGAGTACTGCTGTCATGTGTGGCCGCAGGATATTTGGAGCTCGGGACAGATGTTTTATGTAGCTCCAAAAGCATGACCGTGTGTAGGAGAGGTGCCCCCCATACTCCCCTATTTGACTTCCTTCCTGCAAGTAGCTGCCACTCTTCCCAAACAGTGCTGCCTCCTGCTCCCTTCCCAACTTGAATTAAAACTCTAAGGCTGAGTTAACAAGTTCTGAGTATGGGAATTAAATATTTATTGTCCAAAGGAAGTATGGAATGTTATTGTCTAATAGGTAGTTAGTTATATAAATTAGGTAATTATATAATATATAATATATATATTATATATTATATATATTAATAATATATATATAATATATATATATTATATATTATATATATAATAGGTAATTAGTTATATAAATTAATTTCTATTCTTTTTCTTACAAAAGCAATATTTTAAAGTCCTAAAATTTTATATATTATAATGTAACACAGTTTGGATGCCTTAAGCTGGTCTCTGTAACTTTATTCCTAATAGACTTAAAGGTTTCTGGGTTGAAATGAATAACCATTTATTGAGCAAGACAGAGAAGTGAGTAAACCACTTTTCTAGCCCTTGATGTATTTATAATTTATAATTTAGCCTGTAACAGACTATTTCAAATAATCCCAGTTTAGTTTTTATATGCTCTAATCAGGAATCCTGTGGAGTACATAAAAGGGTACCGTACCCAGTGCAGAGTTTTGGGGATTATTTCCTGGAGAAAGTGACATTTAATTTGAGTTTTAGAAGAAGAATAGGAGTTAGGCTGGGGGCAAAGGGACATGTGGCAGGTCCACATGTCATAAGCAAAGGCAAAGAGGTGAAAAATAGCTTGTTATGAATGATAGCAATGATGGCTAGAGGCAAGTGCAGTTCTGAAACATTCAAGGTAGGGGCTCGAAGGAGAGGATCTGGGGGAGTGGAGCTCCAGGAGCCAGGCCTTGGAGGGCCTTGCATGCATTCCAAGGAGCCTGAACATTTTCTAGTAGGTGATGGCCTGCTATTCAGGACTCTGAGCAGGGGAACAAAATGGTCACATTTGCATTGCATTATCATTTCTAGAAGGCATGTTACAAGGGTGAGTCTGGTGGCCTTGAGGGGCACTGCTGGAGGATCAGGAGGTCAGTCAGAGAGTGAGGACAGAGAGGAGGGGATGGATTAGAGAGGTGTTTAGGGGAATCCAGGGTAGAACTAGCTGATTGACTGGATGGAGAAATGAGAGAGGATGAGGGGTCAAAGAGGCCTTTAGAATATGGGTGATAAGGTAGGGAATATAGGAGGAAAAGCAAGCTGAATGGGAAAGGTAAAGTGTTTGGATTTCACTATGTGGCATTTGAAATGGCTGTGGGCCCTCCAGGTAGAATCACCTACAGGAAGTTTGCTGTGTGATAATGATTTAAGGACAGAAGTAAAGATTTGGGAAGTTGTCAGCATACAGGGCTGGTGAAAGCTGTGCGATGGACAAGATTATTCAGGAAGAGTGAGGAGAGAATGAGAACTAGACTGAGGACACACGGGCAGTAAAGGGAACAAACAACCAATGGATGAGGTTGAAAAACAATTGTGGGAGAGGTAGCAGACTACGAGAAGATGGGGTCTGTGGTCCGCTGCTTCAGAGCTGTCACCTGACTGGAGCAGGTTGAGGTGGCTTACGGAGTTGACAGTGGGCTCAAGGACTGAATGGGAGGTGAGAAAGTGGGGAATACAACTCTTGAGGGGACAGATGGGCAAACTGGTAGAGGAGGTGCCCCAAGAAGGAAATGGACAGGCAAGGCCACCTGTAAGAGGGAGAGCATGTGGGTGTTCATAGATTTGGTTATGTTGGGAGTAGTGGAGATGTGTTAAAAATTATCTGTGAGGAATGGAAATTTCAGAGAATGGAACGATAGAGAAGAGGATATTCCCAATATTAGAGTCCAAAATGTAAATAAAAAGTATGTCATAGATAGTTTAAAGCAAGTGACTAATGAATGAAAAGTCTGAGTAAGCCACTTTAGCATAAATCTGTATCATGCCATCTGTAATTTAATTAGAGTGTTTTTAAAAATAGGTTTGATTCAGAAGTAATTGGATGAGGCTACATAGCCAGGAAAAATCACTGGGCTTTTCTAATTGTAGACTGTTTAAAAACTGATTTTTAAAAATTGTTTTCAAACCCACAAGAGTTGACATTCAGGTGTCCCACAATATTGCTCTGACATCTAATGGCAGTGTCTCCTTAGAGGGGCACGCAGTCCACATGGCCTCAGGGTCTCTTAGTGTTTCTTATATGTAAGGAAGTGTAGTGAGCCCATTACATGTACTGTACTGCATTTAATCTTCATAACCTATGAGGAAGGATCTTCATGCTCCATTTTATAGAGAAGCAAACAAAGATGTAAAGTCACCTGCCCAGAGTCCGTGGCCAGTACACGTAGGGCCAGTGTTTTAGTCCAGCTAGTCCGGCTTCAGAGTCCTTGACATGTAACCACTATCCTATAGGAAGTATTTTAATGACAGAATCACAGGGCATGAGTTCTGATGTTCCTTCCAACCTTAAAATATTTGTGATTCTACCTATCTGTCTGTCTGTCTGTCTGTCTGTCTATTAATACAGGATCTTCAACAGATACAATGAGGTATATATGGAAAAACATCTTGAGATTTATTTTGAGCTTTTTTACCTTAGAATGAATAATATACTGTGTCCAAGTTGTTGTGTATTTTGAACTAGTGGGATACTAATAAAACAAGGTTTTTTAAAACTATGAAAGGATTATCTGTAATTCATTGTCATTTTGGTACTGCTTTTTTTGTCAGTATTTAAAACATATAAAAATACACTGTCTATGTATTTTCTCTTAATTATTTATATACTCATTAAACCACTACTTTGACATGTTTTATGAATGAAGAAAATGGTAACAACTGTTCATCGCAGCTGGTCAAATCTACTATAATACCTACACGTAAGCTTATTAATAACAATAATGATGGTGCAGCAATAAAATTAGTAAAACTACCTTATGAAGGTAATCTGATATTGTGTATAGGGTGATTCTTTTTCTTGTAATTATCTAGCAGTTTCTTTTTAGTTGCTACATAAAGACAGGCTGTCTCTTCTAGCTATATGACTAATTCTATAAAAAGTGTTGCTTTGATGACATGGAAAGAGTAAATGGGCTTAATTTATGTCACGAGATATTTGGGTGAAGTAAAATGAACAGATTCTTGACATTGTTGAAATATGATAAAAATACCTTTAAATATCATCTTTAAAGATCCTTGAGAATAAGACAAATTAAGTTTTAAGGCAGGTTAAAAAAGATACCTGGCTAACAAAATTCCAGGACAGCATTTTAAGGGTGAGGGGTTTGGAGCCATCATGCAGGGGGTCAAATTCTGACTGTGTCATTTACTAGTTTTGTTTCCTTAAATGAGTAAACCTCTCTGAGTCTCAGTTCCCTCATGAAAACAATGGAGGTAGTAATGTTTATGCTACTGATTTGTTACGAAGTTTAAATGAGATAATATACATAATAGCCCAGCACATAGTAGGTCCTCAAAAATGATAACTTCTTTTAAAAATTAATTATTCTTTCCCCTCTCATGCTTACTTAATGTTGTGGTTAGCAATTGTATTCAATGGCTGTATCCATTCTGTTGCTTAAAACATTTAAAAGCATTCATGAGAGTTACTGTTCTGGTTATATCTTTTTAAAAAATTGGTATCTTTTTTTCCCATATCTGGGCTTGGGTTTATTTAATGACTATAGCAGACAGGTACAGAAGATAGGCTAATATTTTTCTTCCTTTGAAAGCAAAATTTCTTTTTTAATGCCTTTAAAATCCTCCTCAGTGCTAATATAGTGAGCTCTATGCATTACAGATGCTAAGAAATATGTGTTTTTTAAGAATTATTACATGTATTTTAATTAAAATAAACAGCTTGAAAATTGGTGAAGCAATTATATTATTAAATTGTTAAATTGAGGTGTACTTAGAAGCAATGAATTTTGGTAGTTTGAATATCCATTTTTACAAGATTTCTAGTAATTTTTTCTGTCAGTAACAGATTGATGTCATTTTACTGTCTTAGATGGATGACTCTACCTTGAGCTCATATCTCTACTTTGATCCATACCCATATGCTTGCCTCCCCAGTTTTGGACTTAGAATGACCCCAGATTCTCCAATTGGATTCAGCCCATTGTGATCTGTACAGAGAACCCAAATCATGTATTTCTTGTTTCTGTAGACTTCAGATTTGGGTGTTCTCAGCTTTCTGGATTCCTTTCTCTTATCAATGCATTAATTGCTGATACAGAATATAGGACAGCTTTACATCAAATTGCTTGATTCTGATAAACCTAAAAATGAGTCATTACATTTCTTTCATACTAAATTAACATCCCCTCCAGATTGTTTATGACATCTGTCAGATTTTTCTTCTTAAACAGATAAATTAAAATGACAAAGTGGGTTAAATGTCAGGATTATAGTTTGTATTACTCAGCTTCTGTCAGGCAATGCTATAATAATCAACAACCCCACATCTCAAGTGTCCTACAATTTTCTGGTATAGTTACATCCATCCTACCTGGCAGTTGAAGGTCAGCTGTGCTCTAGTATCTTTTTCATTCTAGAACCCTGCCTGACAGTGCACATTTTTGGAATGTGCCATCCTCTGCGTGGAAGGAAATGGAAGCTTTGGTTGAACGTGGCATGTGTCATGTGGCTCCCATATAAGGCCAAGCCTGACATCAGTGGTGGGTAGGGGATGAATATCCATCTTTTTACAGAGCAGTGCATATGGCCAGTGACCAGCAGGGATCTATATCCTCTTAAAGGGAGGCACTGAAAAATTGGAAACAGTGATGCAATCTACCTTGCAATTAATCAGTTTGCTGTTATTGTTGTTAATCAGTATTTTTAAATTAAAGGAACACAGCGAGATAAAAAAAGAGCTTACAGAACTGTCTGGTAGTATGCTCTTTTCCGATATAGAAGACTTCTCTTTTGGCCCATGGTTTTCCTTTTACTAGAATTCATTACCTCTCCTGAATCTTCATTGCGAAAGTGGGGACTGATGAAAGAAGCTGGTGAGATGTTTTCATCCAAAGAACCAAAGTTTCCATGTTTTAGGCTTACAGTATTAAGGAAATTGTTTTTGAAAGCATGTGTTTAATATTTCATTGCTAAACAATTTGCCTCTATCGTGTAGAGAAGAATGTTTTTATACAATTATTGTGCCCTGATTCTTAAATTAATAACTTGACTTTGCTTACCATTGACTAATTAGAATCAAATTGTGAATGAAGAGTAAAATCCATACACAAGTTGGAAGGAATCAGGCAATAAGCTATCTGATTTACAGAGAAAAAAAAAGTCTCATCAATGTTTTCTTTAGCCAAAGTTTTACTTACAACTTGAGCCTGGTTTTGATTTTTGAAAAAATTTAAACAGGAGAAGATGTGGAAACCTACCAGTATACAGGGAATGGTAATTGACCTTTGGTGTGAGTGCATGAATGTATGTTTATTGAGGTCCTGAGGTAGAGGGTATGACAGGAATTTTCTGGAACCTAGCAGGACCTCTCCAAGCTTAGGCTTACTCTTGGCCCACTTTATGTCTCATGACTTTTAGAGTAGGCAGGGTCTGTATTCACATCTTCAGAAAATAAGTAAATTGTAATGCTTTTCTGAAACTAAAGTGATTTTCCTTTCTATATATGTTTGGTTTGTGTTACCTAAGAAGCATGTTGAATATTATTGGAATAAGATACCACTTTCTATGTTAATTCTAATGAAATTGAAGAAGGAAACAGCCCTCACCAATATTGTGAAGCGGTTAATGGTGTTTAAAGTCTCTGGAGACAGGGCCAAAGTAGAAATATAAACTAAATAAGTGAAAATGCAGTCATTACTTTCTAGTTTGAATGAGCATCAAGATGCAATATTTTGAACTAATTGCAACTGCTATAAAGTACTTTGAAGAAAACCCATTAGAAGAGAATTAAAACTTGAACAGATTACTGTTCTTTAGTGAGCCTAGCAGAAGGCTTTGTTTGTTGCTTCAAAATCTTTTCTAATTCTTATCACTTAGCCTTCTTGGTATATAAATATAAACAAAAGTATCTTTCCCTACACATTTTCTAGAACTATGTGTATATTAGGAAACATTTCTCTTAACTGAATATCACAGGTAGTTTTAAAAGCCAAAATAAATTTTGAATTCTATATATCTCAGGTTGAGATTAATGAAATTAAGAGAGCAAGCTTTTTAGTTGTTAGTAATAATTTAGTGATGGATACATGGATCACTGACATTTTTTTTATGTATATATATATTTTTTGAGAGGGCTTCTCTCATATTTATTGATCAAATGGTTGTTAACAACAATAAAATTCAGTATAGGGGGGTCAATGCTCAATGTACAATCATTAATCCATCTCAAGCCTAATTCTCGTCAGTCTCCAATCTTCTGAACCATAATGAACAATTTCTTACATGGTGAACGAATTCTTACAGAGTGAATAAATTCTTACATGGTGAACAGTACAAGGGCATTCATCACAGAAACTTTCGGTTTTGATCATGCAATATGACCTATAAACCATCAGGTCAAATATGAATATTCATTTGATTTTTGTACTTGATTTATATGTTGATCCCACATTTCTCCTATTATTATTATTATTTTTATTTTTAATAAAATGCTGAAGTGGTAGGTAGATGCAAGATAAAGGTAGAAAACATAGTTTAGTGCTGTAAGAAGGCAAATGTAGATGATCAGATGATCAGGTGTGTGCCTATGGACTAAGTATTAATCCAGGCTAGACAAGGGCAGCAAGACATCCACGGATGCAGAAGATTTCTCTCAAAGCAGGGGGGGTGAGGTTCTGAGCCTCACCTCTGTTGATCCCCAAATTCTCACCTGATGGCCCCCCTGCGACTGTGCCTGTCTTAGGTTGTTCCTCCCTTGAGGAATCTTACCCGTCTCTGGCTAACCAGTCATCTTCCAGGGCCATACAGGGAAATGTAAAGTTGGTAAGTGAGAGAGAAGCCATATGGATCACTGACATTTTTACTTTACATTTTGTATCTTGATCTTGTATCCTGCAACCTTGCTGAATGTATTCTTTTGTCCTAGTAGAGGTGTGTGTGTGTGTGTGTGTGTGTGTGTGTGTGTGTGTGTGTATTTCTTAGGCTATTACCTACAAGGTAATGTCATTTGTGAATAGAGATAGTTTTGCTTCTTTCTAATCTGGATATCTTTTATTTATTTTTCTTGCCTGATTGACGTATTAGAATCTCCAGTACAGTGTTGAATAGCAGTCCCATGTGAGAGTGGACATCCTTGGCATGTTCCTGAGGGAAAGTTCAGTCACTCACTATTAAATATGATATTATTTGTGGGTTTTCATAGATGTCTTTTATCATGTTGAGGAAGTTCCTTTCTATTCTTGGTTTGTTGAGTGTTTTTATCATGAAAGGGTGTTTGATTTTGTCAAAGGCCTTTTTGCATCTGTAGAGATGATCATGTGGATTTTGTTGTTTATTCTATTAATACGGGTTGGTACGTTGACTGATTTTCGTATGTTGAACCAACCTTGCATTCCTGGAATACTCACTTGGTGATGGGGATTCCTTTTTTTACATTGCGGGATTCATTCTGCCAGCAATTTGACGAATGATTTTTTTCATCAATGATGAACACTGGAGAGAAAAATAAAGGAATATGACTTTCCCAGGATTTCCCCAATGAAATATGGAAGCTTCATTTCTGTACATACTATGAAGTACTGTCTTTTAAATGATAATCAAATTTCAAAATATGCCTATCTAAGTAATCAAGTTCAGAAACTTTTACATAATGGTTATCTAAAGAACCTTATTTTGGCATATGCTTAAACTCTCACATAATGTTACTTGTTACATGACATATTCAGATTTTAGGTCTTCACCTTGTGCAAATCAATTTTTTTTAGCTTAGTTTCCTAATCAGTAAACAAGGTTATGAAGAGCAAATGAAATATGATATGTGAATGCGCTTCTAAGATATTGCATGATGCTAAGATATAATTATTTATATAAGTATGTAATATAAATATTTAGCACAGGAGTCAAAAATGCAAATAATGTCAGAGGCCAAGAAGACCAAGTAATGTCAGAAGTGGTAGCAAGTCACACACCTGGATGGATGAGGCCAGTAGCATCTCTGCAGTGGAAGCTCTGCAGTCTTGGTTCAGTATATTCAAATTCAAAGGAGAACAAACAAAATAAAATAGCAAACACAAACCCCCACTGTTCTAGCCACACATCACACATCTGCCTCCTGTGCAGGATCTGATTCAGAGTGTCAGTGATAGAGTATAAAGCCCTGGGGTCTCTTTCCAGCTCCACCATAGAAAAAGCTCTTACCTCTCTGAGGCTCCATTTTCTCATTTATAAAATGCAGATAATGTATGCCTTGCCTGCCTCCAAAGGCTGTTGTGAGAGGCTTATATGGCATAACACGGAAAAATGACTTGAAAACTATCAAGCCTCTGTAAGTATAAGGAATTCTGTTGTTTTTATGTCCCCATAAATCCTAACTTCTCAATGAAGGTACTTGTTAAAAAGGTTCTGTGACCAGACATTGGAAAACTCCCGAAAACCAACTAGAAAAGTCCCCTTTGAATACAATGAGCTTGGTAATAGATGCAAGCCCATTTAATGTATTTCCTGGACTTGAATTGTTACCTAGATCATCCATTGTCATTACAGTGAAAAGAGCTATTGTCTTGTTTTCCTCACCACTACCTTCTGTTAGATATGTGAATTCCTAAGACAGTACAACAATATGCTTCATAATTTTCACAAACCAGGTATATTATTTATAAGGGCTTTCTGTGGTTTTCTTAACAAATAAACAGAAAGTCAGAACTTGTACTTTCGTGGTACCCTAGTATTCGAAAGAGTGACTTCTCTAGTTTTGTGACCACAGTGAATCCAGTGAAGCTACTGTAGGACATTCTTTTGGAGCAAGATGGAAGCCAGCATTGCATATAGGTTGCCGAGTAGCCAGCCAGCAGTGTTTGTGGCCCAGCTTAGCGGTTCTCCTCAGTTGGCAGGACATAGTCATAGAAACTCGTATTCCTAAATAAATTGAGCTCCTGCTCTGTGTGAAGCAATGTGCTGGCTTGGGAACACAGGAAAAATAATGTTGCCTCTGCTCTGGAGAAGCATGAAGTCTGGTTGGAGAGAAGCCAGTGGCCATCGTAGCTCTATGATCTGGACTCATGGTGATTAGCTCTGTCTGGAAGAAGCCCTGACGATCATCTGCTCAGCCCAGTTCCCTCACTTTACAGCAGAGATGATAGATACCTATTGCTAGTATCTATGATGTAGTCCAGGAGTTCTCAAATCTAGCTGCTTCCCAGCATCTCCTGGGGATCCAGAGTTTCTGTGGGTGGGGAACCAGGGATTTCTATTGGAGTACAAAAGATGCACAGTCCTGGGAGATTCTGGCAGAGCCAGTTTGCTTAATGGGCTTGGGAGTGTAAGAGGTTGTGAGTGGTTTTAGAGTTTAGGGTAGAGGGAGCTCATTGAGAGGCTAAGGAAGGGCCTTGTGGAGCACTTGCATGTTGCAGTTAAGGGTGGGTAAGATTGAGGTACACTGAGACCTTTGGGAATAGGGTAGCAATTAGCTGAGGACAGGAGTTGGGAATTGTCATGGCCATGGGGCTGAGAAAGATGTTTTACATCTTGTGATTCTCTTGGATAGCAAGGGGCTGTAGAGGATTCTATACATTTGCTTTAAAAAAAGAGCTGTGATCTGCTCAAGGCAGCCATAGTGACTTTGGCTAATTTTTGTGAAGATTTTAAGAAAGCATTTAACTGCAGTATTAGTAATTCTGCAATCCCAAATTCATTATTTGACTAAGAATTTTTTCCTAGTTTATCATTAGTACTGTGGTTAGTGTCTTCATTGCCTCCCCCAAATTATTTGGAGACAGAAGTTGATAATTTGGTACTCCCAGTTACTGCATTTCTTGGGAAGAAAGTAGTTGATATGCAGTATGCCGGTAAATATGTCTGGATAAAGATGTGTTATATTGACAACCAGTGAGACATTAACACTTATGAACTATTCTTTGCTGAAAATAATTTCATCTTCTCAAGAAAGTGACTTATCTTTCATATTTTAAATATTATTAAGATACATGAATTTGGACATCTTCATAATAAACAGATAAATGTATTTAACCAGTGTGTATAAGACACCAAACAGAATTTTGTAAAAGATCTGTCAAGACAGATTTTCAAAAGATCGGTCCACTTTAAATTTACATATATTTTATAGTTATATTTATTTCACTGTCAAAATATTTTTTTTGTGCTGTAACAGTTCTCCCTGGTGTGTGTTTTACTTGAAGGCAGTAACCATATAGTAATGATTAAGAGCATGGCCTCTGACCCAGATGGCCTGAGTTCTGATCCCTGGCTCTGCTGGCTGTGGCTAACCCTTATTTTGTCAGCTGTGAGCTCTGGGCAAGAATGCCTATCACAGAGGCTGGTGTCAGGACTGAATGAGGAAATATGTGTAAAGTGCTTTGAGGTCATCTAGTTGATGCCCCTCATTGTACACATTGAAGAATCTGAGGCTTATTCTAAGAACTTGCTCAAGATGATTATGAAATTAGAACCTGGCCTGGAGCCCAGACCCCTTGATTCTCAGGCTGGGACAGAAGAGAATAAAGTTGCTTCTCTCTGCAGTACTTTTTCAGTGTTCTGTCACTTGGTCTGGCTCTCTTTCTGTATTCCAGTCTCTCCATCCCTCCCCCCACCTCGTTTCTCGGTCTGTCTCCAAGTCCCCCCAACATCTCCATCCATCCTGTACAGGTCTCAGCCCTATAAAGCAGGCGTGCTTAAGTTGGAGGTCGGGAACTCCACATCATATGTACATTTCTCTCTTTTTTTGCCTTTTTGAGTAGAGAGCCTATGGCTTTTATCAGACTCCCAAATGTGTCTGTGACCCCCACTTCTGTGAGGGTGGAAGGGGCTCTGACAGCAGCCGTTTTCCAGTATGAGCAGACGTTGAGGTGGTGCTCCGAGAAGTCTAAGCACTGTGTTCCTTTGTCAGTGTTTCCAGCTGCAGAGGAAAGAGTGGGCACTAATAAGGATGGCTGGCAAAGCCACTCTGCCAGGGAAAGTGACTTTTTCATGAAGACACTGTTGAATCTGTTCTTGACTGAACAAGCAGGGAGCTTGACGTTATACAGCCAGAGCATAAAGGCAGTGCAGGCCGTGGTTTGAAAAGTAAGCCACTAAGAACTCAGAGCCCAAAGGGCTCTCCCTTCTGTTGTGTCCTTATGGCACAGTGGGAGTCAGGTGGCTTAGATTTGCCTTAATTGCAAACGAGCTGACTGACGTAGATGTTTTCATAGTGAGGCAGAACTGCTAAAAGAGAACTGCAGTTCTGTTTTTAAAATAAAACTGAGGGGACCAATGTTGTGTTTAAGGACTTAGGGAATTTAAATGCATTATTACATTAGAAAAGCCATTTCATAAGAGCACCTATCACACCATATCCCAAGGGCTTTTCAAGTTAATTATAATTTGAGTTATCCTGAAGGTTGCTACTCAGTGATAAAATCATGACCAAACAGCTTCACACGTCCCTTTTATAGCTATAATATAATCCTCAATTTTTCCCTCCATTATGCAATATTCAAATTTATCACACAACAGCTTTAACATAACCCATGGCAATGTACTTTTGTTGAAGTGGTATGATTAAGGGCTTTTTAATATAGTCTGGCTAGACACCAAGGGCATAGAAGTGATCTGTTTCTCACCTGATTTTTAGGTGGAAGACAGTACATGCTGGGGGCATTTAGGTAAGCAGGGCCAGACAGGGGGGGCTCTCTCAGGATAGTATTCTTTTGCCAAGTATGTGGGACAAATCCAGGGTTAGTATTTATGGGAATTTGGGAATTTGGACCTAGTCTATATTTAGCATCCAGAAACCATGATGGGGCTGTCATTGGTTAGGGGTATCCAGTCACAGTTTTTGACAAAGTTAAATAATTTAGGCATACAGGGCAATGGTGCACTATCTATTCTAAAGTTCATTTATTCATTCACTCATTAGTTCATGTATCAACATGCCTCAAGTTTTCCTGACTTTAGGTTTATGTACAGAACATTCTTAGAAGGATTTGAATACTTTTTGATGAGAAAAACTCCGAACGAATAATTAAAGTTAAGAAAACATTTCAAAAGGCTTCTATACTTTGGCAAACCCCTCCTAGAAAGCTTTTCAAGGAACCAGATATTAAAATAAAGGAAAGAAATGTCAACAGGAATTTCTTCTTTTAATAAAATTGTAAAAGCTACATATACACAAGAGCTTCCTGTTAGGCTACATCTCCTTTTTCTCCCTAATAGACATGATTTCTTTACAGAGACTGCCTGTTGACTGGTCCAAGAGAAGTATTGATCAGTGAGAAGCCAAGTGTGGGCATAGCTTCGGGTCATGCCCCTCACTAGAATCTGATTTTTTACTTCTGTGTCAATAGAGGGGGGAAGATGATGCCATCCTGTCTACCTCATGGGCCATGTGAGAACTAAATGAACTAACCCAGGGCCGTGCCTTACACTCAACACTCAATAAATCATGACTGTTTTTTCCCCAATGATTCTGTTCATCAGAAGGAGCATCAAAAGTGAATCAAAGTCAAGTGTAGGGTGCTGTTCTCCGGACAGAAGCTGCCTCTTCTCTCCTTTCACCTGTGAACCCAGAAGGTGAGTAGGGTATGGGCCAAACGGTTCCTAAGTCAGGTGGGGGAGAAGAGTGCAGGCTGTTCAGGAACGTGGAGCAGAGAGTGGAAATGTAACAGACCCTATCCATTGGAGGAACCCCTGGGGACTAGGGGGTCACAGTCCCTGCAGCTGTGTGGATTTCCTTGCTTTTCCAGCTCTTTTTGACGTGGCCATTCAGAAACTTTCTTTCTTGTCTCCAAATCTGAACAAAAGAGAATTGCTTTTAGGAAGAATCCACTAGCTGTTGTTTGTAAACCACTGCTTGGTTAGAAAACAGGTCTCTGCGTCAGGATCTTTTCGTACGTTTAACCGTCCCACTTTCTATGGATAGGTGACCTGACTGCACTTGCCAGTGGTATGCCTGACTCACCCTGTGTCTGGCTCCTGCCCCCAGCAAAAAACTAGAGTATAAGGTCTTGTTTTGCTTTGGCCTTCTGACTGCTGTTCAGGCTGCACTGCTGGTTTCTGGGGCCCACTTTTGCATGGCTCCCAGGTCTCTCCTGTTACCTGACTTTTTAGTGTCCTCCTTAATTCTGATTATAGCTCTGGGTGCCCTGCGATCTGCTCCTATTCCGGAGAAAGCCCCACCTCTGGTTCCCAACCTCACCCTGACTGCTGTTGTAGGTTTCCACTCTCTTTTGAGCCATCCTCTTTTGGAGAAGCACAGACTTCACCATTCAGGTCCTTTGGCAGCAGCCTGAGCCAGGCCACAGCATTTCTGTGTTTTCCTGGAGGCAGAGGTAGGTGGCCTGGGCTGATTGGATGTGGGTTAGCCTGAATGCTTTTCACAGGCAGTCATCTCTGTGTGGTGGGCATTCTAATGGTTCCACTGACAGGTGGGGCAAACGGGACTCTGAGGGGTTAAGTACCTGCCCAAGTGTTGTGGCCAGTGAATGTTGGAGGCAGGGTTAGATCCTTGTTAGGTCCCATAGACAGAGGAATTTTCTTCTCTTTGTCCCCAGAAGAGGACCATGCCCTCCTGCTCTGAGATAGAAATTTGCCTGAGAAGCTTCCAAAATGCACTGATTCTTAATTTTATCTATAAGTTGGTAATTTAGCCCAAACAATACAAATTCTTTGCTTCAAGGAGAATATCTGAGGCAAACTGGTTAGAGCTTGGGGAATGTCTATGCTTTTCTTTCAAAGTCTTACCTTTTTATTTTTATTTTTGCTGATGTATAGCTCTTTCCTCCTTTCCTTTTTTTTCTTTATGTAGACTTTGCTTTTTACCTCTTGCCTCCAGGTTTCAGGAAAATGCTTTATAAAAGGGGTGACAGATACTTAGTTTTGTTAAGGCCTTGGGGAAAAGAGTAAAGGGAAAGAAAACCTTCAAGATGAACTACATTAATGTTTTAATTAGAATTAATGTATTCTTTGATAGAGCTAAAAAAAACAAACATCCATGTAGTACTATATGAATAGCAATAATGTTAAGAGCTACTAGTAATTAATAACATCTCATCTACATCCTCTGTAGTCATCACAGTAACCTACCGCAGCAGGCAGAACAGGTGAGGTAGCAAAGACGTAGTTAGGTTTAAGCCCAGGAATGCCACTGGGCACAATGCCATTGCACTGAGCTGTTTTGATATCAAAGCAAAGCAGGTGCTCTTTCTGTCTATATCTTTCAAAGCATATTGCCACTCTCTTAAATTTCTTTTGTAAGTTGTGGTTCTTATTCTTGGTCAGTTTGCTGAGTCTGAGTGCTGAGGGGTCACCATAGATTATACCCTACTTAAATTAAAATGACGAGCATAACAGTGAAATGTGTGGTTAAGAGCAAGGAGAAATAAGACTAGGATATTCTGTCTTCATGGCCAGGAGCTCAAGGAAAGCTGCCTTCACCCCATTCACCCAGCACTCAGACAGCCTCTGAAGCCATCAGACTCACTTTGGACTCAGATGAAAATAAGCTTCAGATGAATGTACAGGAACCTGGACCACTGGGAGAAGTTGAAATCAGAAACACTGATTTCAAGTGTTTATGAAGCTGGGGTATGTCCAGTTCTATTGAAGGGCCAGAGGGAAGTACACTTCACATGGTAAAGGTGTTCTAGAGAGTCTCCCATTTCTGAAAGCTAAGCAGAGACTGTGCATTCCTGTTGAATTTGACATGGACTGATTTTGTGCCCATTGTAAAAAGGGAGTGACTGGCAAGAGGAGAAATAGGTTCAGACAGTGTCTGTCTGCCCTCAGAAGCTTGATATCTGCCAGTTGCTATTTGGCTTCTTTTTTTAGGTTAAGTACACTCTCTGATGTATGACACTTAATTCCATTTGATGTTATATTTGATTTTTTTCTTCTCTCATTGGGAGATGTTTGCAAGTCCACTTAACTCAGTTCAATCTGCAGCCAAATGAGCCTCTTCTCTGTGTTGTCATTTATACCACTGATTAAAGTGAGACTTGTTGCTAGGCCAGGAGCAGAGCCCTCTGAGACATTGTCTGGTTTGTGAGTCTGGGTCAAGACCATGTTGTATGTATATACAGTCTCTTATAGAGAGATTTCTTTGAATGAAAGATTGAGCTAATGGTGTCCAAGTCTCTCTAGCTCTTAACTATAAGATTTTGGTTCAAAATAATAAAAATAAAGTAAGCCTTATAAAAGCTGTGAGTTTGAAGTGGTAAAAATGCTCTTCATTGTTTGAGATGGTATTCATAGAACCTGTAACTTGACAAACCTGTGCATTGATTTACAATATCTTCTACATTTCAGCAGAAGCTGAATTCAAAATGTCAGTCTTTGGCAACCTAGTACTTCATCTTAGCCCAGGAACTCACCTTGTGATATGAACTGAAGTTCTTTATCAATCTGATTTGACATGAGTTTACTGACGAGTCTGTGCTATTCCTAGTTGGAATATGCAAAATATGTACATTTCACTAATAGAAATATTTATTTCAAAGGAAAATTTGCCAGGGGAATCAATTCAGGGAAGGGAGAATGTGTTTGTGAGGGACACTTATTCACGATGCAAACAGGAGACAGGAACTTTAGAGGACTGGCTTAGAGTGTCAGCAAGTTACCAGTTGACTGGGTGTCCATGGGAATTCCTTGGCCCTCTCTGAGTTCTCATTTTCATCTTGGATAAACTAAGAGGCTTGGCTTAGATGGCCTATAGTCTATCTAGGCTCACAGATTCTGCAGTGCTGCACAGTCTTCAAATAGAGGAAATTTCACTTGGTTAGTTTCTGTTAACAGAACAGAAAATCAAGAGTTGACATAGTAGAGAAATTGAGTTTGGTGATTAGCTAGGTGTTTTCCCAGCCCGCTTCCCTAAAACTCTTAGACTGGATTAGATCAGGAGAGAGGAAGTAACATACTGTAATAGTTTCCTATTGCTGCTAAAGCTAATTACCACAAACTTAATGGCTTAAAATGTCATGTAGTTAAATTATCTTACTCTCCTGAGTGTCAGAAGTCTGAAATGGGTCTCCCTGGGCTAAAATCAAGGTGTTGGCAGGAGTGTGTTCCTTCCTGAGCATCTAGGGGAGAATCTGTTTCCTTGATTTTTGAGGCTTTCCACATACCTTGACTCCTGGTCCCTTCCTCCATCTTCAAAGCCAGCAATTGCCTCAGACGGACCTCTGCTTCTCTGATGTTCCTACCATGCTCCTGTAAAGGAGGACCTTTTTGATTACATTGGGCCCACTGGGATAATCCAGGATAATCTCCCCAGCTCAAGATCTTTAACTTAATCACATCTGCCAAGCCCCTTTTGCCACGTAAGGTGACATACTGACTGGTTCTGGGGATTAGGAGGTGGACAACTTTGGGGCCATTATTCTACCTACCCCACATATGTCATGTTGGTAGTGTGGCACTGGCCCAGGAGACCATGCTTCCCTCTCCTGAAAGCAATATTGCTAGCCGATTAAGTCATTTTCTGCATTCATGAGGGGCCTTCATCTGTACTCCTCCAGCCTCTTGTGCCTCAGCAGGAAGTTTATTAAAAGGAAAAAAGGGGAGAAAACGGGAAAAGAATCTACAGTTGGGAGGCAGATTTATCAACTATGGAGTCAGCATCAAGGCCTTCAGGAGGAAAGTGTATGATATACTCTGATTCAGTTGTTTTAGAGGAAAAGGCAGACAGGTTCCAAAGAGTAGAACCGCAGGCACTTTGAGGCTTGTCTTTTAGGAAATGTGATTAGATATTAGGTTTTAAGTTCTCTGAGAGTTCAGCTGCAGTGGCCACTTTGCGTTTGATGTTGAGGTCACATGTATTTACTTTCCAGTAGTGAGGCTTTGCTCTGAGAGCACTAGGAAGTTATGAATCCTCAGTGGGAGACAAATACTGGAGTAGAGTCTGAATGTGACACTGACAGCATTGATAAGAACTATCAAAGAACTGCAGCAGAAGCTGTGACAAATCTGTATTCTTTGAATCTTGGGGGTGACATTTTAATTGTCAGTGCATTAGATAAGTTATCTTGGCTTGTAGATAAAAATGTAATTGAGGACAAGTAGTTCAGGAGAACAGATCGGTGGCACTGAAGCCACATCATTTTCGCCGTAAACTCCAGCAGCTTTGCATTCGTGTTGACTTGACACATTCACGTCATCAGAAGAAACTCATGTAGTTCCTGAAAAAATGCATATTTCTGGGTCCATTTTGATTTTCTAATTTGCTTTGACAGAAGCATGCTAACCTGCCTCCAAGTTGGATTTAACACTATGTGGTGTTTCAGAGAAGCTCTGATTCTCTTTTGAACTTTTTAAGCTCTGACTTCGTTCAACTTCTGTCTTAAAGAAGAATCTGGACTGCGTTTGGGTGTCGGTGTGTCCAGTTAGCCAGGTGGTATGGGCTTCATAACCAGCACCCCAAGGCATTCTGACATTGTGATTCCTTCTAGGCGTAAGACATCTTCCAGAGGAAGGAACCAGAGAAGCTAGCAGTGGGACCAACTGAATATGATGGCCTGTTTTTGCCATCATTTGAAACATCATCAGATAAATGTGTGCTGGGAATTTGGCCAGAACCT